TATTTTCAAATGATATATAAAAACACAATTAATTTCAACGGTTTAATGGACTCAAGGAAGAAGTCGCGGGACTCGTCGGCCACAAAAGTACAGTCAAAGCAATTAATTTGATTAAAAGTATTTTATACAGAATATTCTGTGAAATGCACAGAAAAACTCAACCATGATGCCTCGAGTCTTAAAAACAAAAACAACATAAACGTTAACTATTATTTAGTAGTGTTTACGTCACTTAAACACAAAAACATTGTATACATACAGTCGTATACCCCGTGTGTAGTCAATCATTAATAATTGTGTTGACACTAACCCTATATATCTTATATTAAATGCGAAAAACTTAATTAAGTATAAAAGCTTTTATATACACATTACATGTTCTCTCTCTCTCTCTCTCTCAACACTTGTATGTATTTTATTTATTAGCTGTTAGCACACTGTATGTGACAGTTGTATACCTTTTACCTGTTTATATTGTATATATCCAAAGCTATAAGCCTTTTGTCGACAAAATAAATATTATATAAAGATATCCATTGAAGTTAGCAAAGGATGGGTCAGAAGACTCGCATTGTGTACAGAATATTATCATTTGCACAGAAATTCATAACTATTATGCGCTCAAAGCCTATGATCATGAAAAAAGTGAACCAACTTTTCAAGTATTAAATGAGACATATTGTTGAAAAATTTGCTGATTTTTGTGTTACTATTTTAAATATTGTGTTTATTTATTGTATTACTAAATGTTTAAATAATATTTTAAACAATTTTACACCCTTTTTATGTCAAAATATATTTTTATGTTATAAGCGAAATAATTATTAATGCAATTTCATTATCAAACAGTAAGTGATTATTAGTTTTAATAGTAATTTTAATTCATTTAGTGTACATTTCCTGGTATTTCATCCCTAATACTCGCCCCCGGATTCACAAAAATGTGTTTCATGTGAATTATATACTGACCATAATTGACGTCAAGGGAAATATACTTAAAACCATTTATACAAAACATAAATGTAATTAATCATTATATACTGTATGTTGTTTAGTTAGTACACAATAATGAACCTCCTTTATAATACACAACCTTTTATCTACAGACATTAAATTTTGTACCAAATTATAATGCTATCATTGATTTAAATTAAATGTTATAAATATAAGAGCCTTATATAAAGCCAGTAAATAAATATTGATATTTAATTGTTAATAAACTATATTATAAACTAATTAAATACTAAAACAAATATGTGCGCAAGAATCATTTATAAGAATGACCCACATTTGGAATATATAAAAAATAAATACATTATTTACTTAACCTCAATCACACACAGAATATTCCGTGTATACCATAAATGATAATCATGTTTATTAATCTCCAATTATAAACAGATATTTTATATAACAATGAATGGCGAGAATCAAAGCCCACAACAAAACGACATCAAAACCATAAGTAAAGCGAAACGAAAAGTGAAGAAAAAGCCACAAAACACGGCGAATGTTATCAAAAAATATCATCAAATGTCGCGCAAAGAGAAAATCAAATTCTTGGTCCGAAGTATACTATGCTTTCTCTGTGTGTTTGGTCTGGCATTTCACGCCTCGAAACTGGTCCGACAGTACGTGTGGGGCCAGACAGTGGTCAACGTGAAAGTGGACAAGATCAAATACAACAAAATACCCGCCATTACCATATGCTATCCGCGCTTTATGGCGATGGCACGGCTGGCCGATCACAACCCGGAGCTCGAGTCCGACTATATTGAGTACAGGAATATTCTGTCGACAGTGAGTGACACGGATTACGGCAACCAAACACTCAAACAACGGATATCCGAAATATATTGGGAGAGGTTTATGAACACAAACATACCGTTTGAGGTGCCGGTGCACGACCTGCTCGACCACAACTGGACACTACCCTTCCGTTTCCCCAAACGATCGCTCTATCAGTTTGAGAAATATAAGGATATTGTCGGCGTTTACGACGACTACGAGACTGAATACGCCATTGAGATCGAGGCCAAGGGTACGGTACGGGTCGACGGCCGCAAACAGATAGTACAGCTCCGGGACTACGAACCGGTTGAGTCGATAGCCATGAGCTTTCGCGGCGATCAATACAAGTGTTACACGTTTTTCTCGGAGCTCAACGAGAGGTGGCGTAAAGTGCGGCTAAATTTGAATTATATCGCCGTTGAGATACACCACGACTACCGGTGGTTTCCGCCCAACCT